ACAGAGATGGACAAAAACAAATCAAGCCTCTAGCAGAAGCTTCTTGAAGTTCAAACTTCTGAAGTTCCATCTGAGATTGTAAGGCAACCCGTTCCACAAGAGAGCTGCGGGCTGCAGGAGCCTCCCGAAACGCAAACTCCGTCGACCAGTAGTCGGGCTTTCCATTGCGCAGCACAGACGCAAGCAGGCCAAGACAAGGACACTGGATTCTCTTCTCGTACGGCAGGATGTTAAATTTCACATATTGTGGAGTAATATGCTGCCATCTTTTGAGCCCAGGGAAGAAACGCACAGCAGTATTCATGTATCGCTTGATCCTAAGGGTCTGCTCCGCCGAGATGCTCAGGAACAACGCAGCATAATAGTCCACATGCGGGAATACTAGCGTTGAGACTAGCATAGCCCGAACGTCCAATGCAAAAAAATCGACACACCTGCGCAAGCCCGACAGCGTCGCAAAGACCCGGGTAGTGACCACAGAAACATTGTCTCTCCAGGTGAGCTCGCCATCCCGGGTGACTCCTAGCAGTTTTAGCCTATCGACCATCCGGACAGGGCTTCCCTCAATGATAAGTAGAGGTATATCGCCAGCCCGGAGCTGAGACACGTATCGTTGAGTTCCCAGCCATATAGCCTTGGCCTTGTCCGGGTTTATGACCAGGTCCGAGTCCGTACCAGCCAGATATGATTGGACCCACTGGCACGCCAAATCAAACCAACCTAGGTGCTTGAGCTTGTTTAGGAGGAGTTTGTGTCCAATATACTAACCAAAAGTACAATTTTTTTTAAATTTCACGACCAGACAAGAAAATTACACAGAATGGAATACGTGTGTAGGAAGTGCATATCAGAAAAATTACGCTTTGACTTATATAATCATTTTTACTTTCCATTTGCGGATTAACACATAAAGGTACTCGCCAATCAAGATATAAAGGGGTATTGTAGTATTGGAAATGATTAAAAACTGTTAAATTATTAAACTGTTTTTTAACTGTTGTTAAATTTTGAACTGTTTTAAATTTTTTGAATCAATTAAATTGTCATTTTATGATCATTTAAAGTGAAAACTAGCCAATTAGTGGTAAGATGATTTGAGTCATTTTTTGGTCACTGGATCATCATCACTGTTGAGCATTTCTACCAGGGTATATTTTCTATCTTTAAACAAATTCGAAAATTATGTTTCAACGATCACATTTATTTAGTTATTTTTAACGAAATTATAAAAATTGATCGTAGAACGGGTATCTCTGCAATATTCACAATGTTTGTGCAGGTGCGATGTACGCATCCGAGCGCATTGTTGATTATGCGAGACCGCAGGTTCACTCAGATATGCGCGTATACATATTGCAATATAATGAATTTCGTCTTTCAAGAGTACGTGCGTGGAAATGATAGATGAACTTACAAATTATACGCGTTACTTTACGCGTGCGACTGTGTCGATGCCAGGCTCTCTTGACTCGCATGCAATCTTCTTACACTCCTCCGTTCATTCGTCTTCAATTTCACGTTCTCTTCGATATAACTCGATAAATCAGTACGTATATTTTTACTCTGCGACTCCATGAAATTTATTTATTTATTAAAGTGAGCGTCACTTATATCACTCCAGAGAGACAAACGAAATGCTTCTGCACAGCATCGAGTTCAAGTCTCGTCGAGATAATGGATTTTCTGCCAAATCAATAGATTGTAACGCGAGACCCTGAAGCGTATACACCGCATATATTATTCCGCGCATTCGTGAGCCTTTTACTAGAGAAATATTTACACGAGTACTACTGAATTCTAATCGCTAATTTGAGCTAAGTACACGATGTTTTCAATGCATTGAATAACGGCGCGAATGAATATGTCTGAAATAAGAAACCTTGCAATTCTTATGCCCTGTGTGCATTGAATGAATGATTCTGTACAATAATGATGGCCATTGAGTTGCTAAATGTACGAACATCAATGGTTTCATATTTACGTGATAAACTTGATACATCAGGCGTTATTGCACAGATTAATTTGCTCGCTAACCACATGATAATTTCGAGGCGTCTGTTACTTTGTTACAAAATAATCCTAGACTCGCGACGCGGAAAAACAGCAAACAATGCCGATGTATTTGCGAGAAAACATGTATATTAATGCGAAAAACTGCACTCCGTATACGAGAACATAATCGACTGCAAAAGTCTCGTAAAGTTGCTTGGGTTTAATTGCGTTTGCGCTCGACTCATACGAACGTCATCGCGCGTACGATTAGCAGGCACTTAAGGTTTTTCGGATTGTACATTAACATTTAATTTAAAGCTTCCACCGAACTACTCATCCGCGATCTTTTCGATGAAACGGTCGAGGCAGAGAAAAATATATCGATAAAAGGAACGTGCGTAATCATAATTTTTGGAAAGAGAACAACGAGCCTTGCCCGATTCTTCGTCTTCTCTTTTTTCTGCTTCTTCTTCTTTTTCTTACGCTCCTTCCTTTCCACTTCTGCGGTATCCTCTTTTTCGAAGGCTTGTTCGAAGATCATGTTTGATCTCAAAATTATGAGATCGCAGAGAGGATACGTTGTAAATACACGGCTAAAGTCTTTATCGTAACGATTTAAAAATTGATTCGCCTCGAATTTTCTCATGTAATTACGAGTTTAATGAGACGAGCCGTAAGCGAGTACGAAAAAAAAAGAACCAAAGCGTTACCAAAGCCAATATAGGTGGTATACATTTCGCGTTACTTACGCGCGCCATAAAAGCAAAACCTGCACAATATGTAGAGAGAATCCCCGCAAGTTTCATAAAGCAATAATTCAAAATGCCTCGGTCTGCATACAGCTTGCGCCGCCAACATCGTACAACGCTTGTCATACTGTATAATAAAAACTCGCTATTCGCGTGCGCGCGTATTTATACGACCCGATGATAGTCCTAAAATGCTTGCGATGTACCTGTTACTCTTCGAGCACGAGAGGAGCGACAAAGAATTAAAATTCATCAAAGTTTCGCACGATGGCACGCGTGTATGTGTATAGCGAGTATACGGTCTTTTTTCTCTCTCTCTCTCTCTCTCTCTCTCTCCATTTTTTTTTCTCTCGATCTCGATGCGCGCGCTGGGCATCCTACACGCGGACGCATCGCTCGTCCTGCAGCGAGAGAGCAACAGTTGGAACGTGTAATTTAGCAAGCGAGAGCGACGCGCGGCTCTTGCGGTGTCTTTCGTGCTATATACATAGCATATTATGCCAGCAGCGCGTCAGGTTCAATCAGAAATTAAGACGTTTACTCGCTCGCACGTACATGCACAGGCGCACGTCCGAAAAAAATAATAATTTGGCCGCGGCACGCTGCATACGTGCGCATGCGAATCTGTCATTTCGGCAATTTCGGGGCTCCGGCGGCAGATTTTTCGCGCGGCTTTTGTACCGTTCATCGATGATCGCACCGGACGTCGAGCAAACGCATGTGTACAGTAAGAGCCTTTATGCGCGCGCACAGCGTGTTACAGTACATCGTGGGTAATAATACGAATTTCTTTATCACGCGGCCGCATCGAGAGGGGCTGAAATTTCGGTGGGCATGAAAAGGCGATATCCTGCCCTTGGGTCGTCACGCGCGGGTGAATGTCCCGCTAAAATAATTTTTAGCTCGCTAACGTTTATTTAATAAGCTGTGTCATGATGAGGCCTCCTGTATGAGCGTATAAAAGAAACGATTCGTACATCCAGTGCATGTGATCGTTTTATTATGCATCCCATCGTCGATATCGTAAAATTTGCGAGGCTAATCAGAGTTAAATCTAATGGTTAATCCTCGACTTTATAAGCACGATCGCAGCTCTGTCTTACAAAAAGTCAGAGAGTCGTAAAAAATATAGCCTATGTGTGCTCTACTCTTATACCTGCTTCGTTATATTGTATGCACACATGATTACTCGCGGGCCGCAATGAGATGCAGAAAAATCAAAGGACAAAGAGTATAAAACAAACGATCGCGCGCGGACTTGCACTATTTATAATGTCTTGATAGCGTATTGGCCTCTCGCGGTGTGTGCGTACCGCGCGGCACACGAGTGTACACCGAACGAAGATAACGTACCTGCACCCAGGCGCGCGTACGGCGCTCACATTTATGTATATAAATACGCGCGAGTACTTGTTTCCACGAGAGAACCGGAATTTCACGAAACTCAATCCCGCATGCCACTCTTTATGATCCTTCGCGCTTATTTTCATTTCATACGTGTGTGCATACACACACATATATATTTAGCAACAAATAAAATCAGAAACTTGGCATAAATATGAGGATCATGCATTCTTGCATTCTTCCTCTTCGTTTTTTTGTTGTTGTTGTTTTGAATTCGCGAGATGTCATCGAACTCGTCCAATCGATATTCGCTTCTTAATTATCCATTCGAGGCGTCGATTCCAATTGAGAGAAAGAGTGCCCGGAGTCTTTCTCGCTGAAACCAGCTTCGAGTTGAACAAACTTCACTTATCGGCCGATACTCTGACGATGAAAATCATTAGTAATCATATTTAAAAAAAAACCGATCTGAAATCGGTATTATATGGTAAAGCTACAGTTGCATTTAATGTTATATATATACTGGTAAAATCAAACTGACGCCACGCAACGGTAGCGTATGAACTCTTCATGATACTTTGTTCGTTGGTGATTGTTTTGCGGTTCAAGTTTGAAAGAATGCCTCTCGAAGCACGACGACATTTATTTACGATTTTTCATGAATAACAAAAAAATAAAAATATAATAATAAAATAATTAAAATCCAAGCAAATTGATAGGTTAAATATTTTTATTTACTTCGATGTTTAACTCTGATTGTTAAATAAAAAGACTTCACAGAGTCGCTGGAGTGTTACCAATATATCAATGTTTTTACATATAATAACATATGTATCAAAAGTTGATTTTTTATATTTGTACAATTTTCCTATAGCTGCAGCCTGTCCAGATTTTCCGCCAAGCAAATTTTATATAAATCCTCATTCTTCAATTCGTCGATGATCTTTTGACAGCATTCAATTGGCAGCAGTTTGTGTACCAGCGCCCAGAAAGGATTCAGTGCAAAGCGCTGAAAAAATCCTCTCGACATTATCTCGCACATGTGCGTAAGACACGCGTCTTTGAGTCCTACGGGAAGATTCCACCACCTGTTCGATTGCGCAAACCTGAAGTAGTCCAAATACGAGAGAAGTTTATCCTCCTCTTTAGGTCGCAATTGGATCAGATTGTAGAGCGACAGATTGTGACGTATCGTTTTGTTTTTCGCCAATCTCGCGAACTCCTCGTTGTCGTACCAGCGCTTGTCGAGATCCGCTGACTCGAACAATTCGTACTTGGCAAAAAACTTCATGATCGTTAGGGCGTCGTTTTGGTCCAGTTGGTATCCTCTTTCCTCGAGACGCTCGACGGAGGCTAGAGCGCCAGATGCTAGTTCCAATTTAAAAAAATTGTCATCAAGCTGTGAATCAACATTTCTGGCGAAGTAACTCTCATTGGGGAAACTGAAGTTTGATAAATCAGCACCATGTTGCAAGAGTACGTCGACCACATGTGGCAAAAGATTCGCCACAGCTAATTGTAACGGTGTGCGGCCTAGATTGTTCCGAGCATCAACTTGCACCGGCTGATGTCTGTCGTTGCTGATTTTAAATAAATTCTCCAACAAGTCAAAACGATGCTTTTTCTCACAAATCATGTGCAAAGGAGTCGACCCGTCCATGTTGGCCGAATTCAAATTGGCGCCATTTCTCAGCAGCAATTCGAATGTCTCCTTGTAGCCACGGTACACAGCCAAGTGAAGCGGCGAATTACCTGTTTCTGGCACGCGAATATTGGGATCCTGCCCGAGTTGGAGGAATTTTTCGACGACGTTTCTGCGGCCAAGCATGCAGGCCACATGGAAATGCGTCAGACCAGACTCGTCGACGTAGTTCACGTCAAAGCTGTCGTATATTGTAAATAGATTATCGATTGGTACGTAGTGCTTGCATTTAATAGCGTGATGCACTGGTGTAGTGCGACGCAGTAACGGCTTACGTCAATATCAAATTTGGGCTCGTTTTTGTAACCGGTGCGAGCCACGAAACTGATTATTTCCGATCCTGTATAATTCCGTCTTTCTGCCCAGTAAGTTGTGCAATCCAAGAGCAAACTTTCAATTACATGATCTGGAAAATAGTCTCGAAGATTCGGATAATAGTCCGTCCAATCGCTGATTAAGAAGGCAAATTGCCATAGAAAATGAATTCGGTCTTCTTTGATCGTCCAATTGATATCTTTTTGTATAAACTCGAACTTTTGCACCTTTTCTCGGATTCTGACTTCGTTAGGATCATAGCTTTTGTCTACTGGGCCATCTTCGAAGTATAAGAAACTTTCATCGAATTCGTCGTCGGAGTACATGTCTAAATGTTTTGGCGCACTTGCACACGATACACAAGCGCTCGTAATCACAATCACCGCAATCACTCACCGAGGTTGACGGGATATTTCTCTGTTGCTTACGCTTCGGCGCTGGAACGTGTACTGACTATACGTACGCTATTATTTATATAGAATGTAAACATTTCGTGCGCGAGTATGTATGTGCCGTTCGCCGCGGGTCAACGAGCGCGAAAAGGACAGAATTACACGGCACTACCGACAATTGACGTTAGATATAGAGGTATATGAGCGCTGAGCATCTTTAAGTTACACCCGATACTATCCTCATGTCAACTCGATACTGTCGCGTATCTATTATCAAATACAGCGCGCAAAATATTCTAGCTCCGACGAGTCGATATCCTTAAAATTATCGCGCTTATTATCTATGATCATTCACGGACTAGTCTCTCTATTCAGTGTCCCATGAGAAGTTTCATTTACAGAAAAAAAAGTGAAGAAGTAGCAGATGGCGCCACAACACTTTCATCCATATCCTTACGCGATCTCTCGGATATATATTTACGCAATCGGCGAGCGTTGAGCCACTCCGCGTACGCATAGAGAGATGCATCCTCGCTCGCCGATGCTCCGCACAAGGAAAAACACGTACCTATGTTTATGTATTCGTATTATGCTTGTGCGTGCATCGTTCAAAATAGTCGCACGCCACCCACCCGCACTCACAGAAACGCAAGAGTTCTATGCTCCCGCGTGCGCTAGTGTGAGTGCGAACAAACGATTCCTATGCCTAGCACAACAGCTGCCGAGGTATTAAAAAGCGAATGGCTCGAGTCTTTCAAAGGATTATATATTCTCGGTTCATCTTCTGCGCCTAGCAAACGACAGCAGCAACAACGCCAGAAGTGTATATGACTTGTGTGCATCTGAGCCACTTTGGTTTATGCGCGACGTGTACAAATAGAACAAGAAGAAGAAGAGGCTCCTTTTTCCCCTGCGCACTTATATGCAGAGCTTGTGTACGCGCGAGAATAAAGAAAATAAGAGAGAAAGACAGAGAGAGAAAGTGTTGAGCCCGTGTTTAATACATAAACATATATACGTGCATACGTATACGTTTGCGATGTGTGCATATATGCTTGTATACGTAGTACGTGTGGCGCTGCTTCTAGTCGCGAGATCTACTTGCACGCGCGCGCGAGAGATGCATCTTTATTCTCCGCCTAAGCCGCGAGTACATTAAATGTATCTATTTTCTCTACGATGCGCAGAACTGCAATAGGCCGAGATAAAAGGTGAGCTGCATGGCCCATATCTGGGGTTTCTTATTGTTGCTGCTGCTGCTGCTGCTCTTGTTGTTGTCGAAAAATCTTTCTCAATCGTGAACCTACTAAGCTTTTTAGAAACGTACAGAAAGAAATGAAAATAGAAATGAAGTGGTTATCCTGGCCCCGCGTGTTTCTGTGTGTGTGTGTGTGTAGCTCGACGATTTGTTTTGGGGAAGAAAGTTTTCGCAATTTTTCGTTGTTTTTTCGGGTTCTCTCTCTCTCGACTGCAACTGATTATCTCGTCTGTACATCGTGCGCGTGCTCGCCGAAAAACATGCATTTTGTGTTCGATTTTCGAGGCGAGATAATAGGCATTTATCGCCGAAACGAAGCTACAACTGCGCGCAGACGATCGCCGCAGCTCGGCTTCTACCGCGAAATAATATAATTCGCTGGCGGATTCGTGCGAAAAATTCACGATCACGCGCGCGAGCACAATGCGAAAGTTCCAGCGACTGCTGTGCACTGCACACGTGAGGTGCGCCTACGTGTCGGCGACGACGACGACGACTGCGACGACTTAATCGGGCACACGGCACACGAGAGCAGCCCGCGACACAATGCAGCCCGCGAATAATTTGGTCAGTGCACTTTCGAGCGAAAGAAAGCTTTATAAACGTCGAACGCACTCCTTCAACGCGGCGTACCGATCGCGGCTTGTGCATATAGATAGAAATTCGAAGCGCTCCGATCGAGTGTCGCGAGCGCGCCAGAAGAAAAACGTCGCGTGAAAGTATTATGAAGTCGAAATAGATCGGCATCGATTTATTATCGGCCAGCCGAATCGAGGACTTAATTTCGCGTACTGCACGCGACGCCGTGGCAAACGGCACACATTTGGCATTCGCGCATACGGTATATAACGGATTCGCGTACACAGAGAGAAAGAGCTTTAGAATGAAAAAGAGATATAGAAGGCCGATTGATTGTATTTTCTCCTTATGGAAAAGCCAGACTCTAGCTCGGTTGATCAATTTCGCACTGGCACACGTATAAATACGCCACGAGAGAGAGAGAAAGAGAAGAAAGAAAGAAAGAATCGCTGCCATCTCGCGCCCGACTTTATCTTTATTATAGTGGAGAAAACGTGTAGTCGAGCTACAGCTCGCGCTGCGCAGTGCTGCTCTGGCTTGACTGCTTGAGTTGTTTATGGGTGTGTGGGTGGCTGCATCATGCAGCCCATAGCAGCAGCTATACCTAGCTATACGTGTATACACGTGAGATGCGCCGCCGGTTCGGTTCGGGTGTACGCGGCGGGGATTTTTGGAGCTTAATTGATTTAGCCGCGCGCGAGCTGTGAACCAAACTCTCGAACGAGAGCGAGAGCCTTTATAGATTGGAGCGAATTTTGCGCAATAGCCTGCCGCGCTATGGTGCACAAAAGCTCTGCACTGTAAGGTGCTTGATTAGATTACGATGTTGCGCGCGCGCGCGCGAGATAGAAGAGGAAAAAAGGTATTGCCGGGGTGTTGGAATCGACGGTACCAACACTATAAAGGTATACATAAATTGCCGTGAGAAATTTTGACCAGATGATTTAGTGGCGCGATGGTAATTAAGTAGTTCGCTCGTTTAGATCGGCTATCTTGTGTTAAGTTAAGCTCTAACGTACCCACGAACACACGTGTAGACTAGATATTTCGACTGCGACTTATCGCGTTATAAATATACTGTGACGTGCGAGGTTTTGGGCACTAGCCCATGCTCGGCCTGCCGTCTAATTATTTCTTACTGAGGCTCCGGTTAGCCTATCGTTGAGTCTTACCTCAGAAGGGGTCGAGCCGCCACCAAGTGCGCCGCGAGCGTCGGCAGTCCAAGCTGAAAATAAGTGAGAGAGGGTCGCGAAAAGACTACGAAAAATGTACTTTTGCACACAAATAATCGTTCTTTATTTAGCTTCGACTTTCAACTATCATTCATACAATCATCACTGCAATCGCGCTTCATTTCGCAATGTCATCTCATTTCTTATCATTATCATCCTCTCATGCCTCGGACGTAACTGATTATACGCGAGTCCAAGGGGAAAACGCGCGGATTACAACGTTAGTCCGACGCGAGTCCCAGTCGAGTGCCGCGTAATTGCACTGCGCGCAATCGGCTCGTTTCTCCGAAATACGGTCGACGCCTTCGCTCTGCTCGCGCTAGCAGACGCGCGGTTTGGTCACACACGACCAAGACGAAACGCGCTATCTCGCTTGCTCTCACAGGAGCGTCCAAGGCGGAAGTACCGCTTCGCAAAAATGGCCACGCGCCGGCCTGAAACGCAACACGTGGACTCGAACCACGTCTTGAATCCAAGGTACTCGCTACAATTACTCCGATCTCCACTACTCGTACTACAACGATTCTACGGCGAACTTCTTATTTTCTCTTCTACATTCACACTACGCAATCATACAACACTCTCACACATCCGCGCGACCGACCAAGCTTAATCCAATTTACAACCTTCTTCGTCGCTCCGTTGCCTCGGCCTTTATTCTCGATGTTGACTCCCGCTGTCCCCCAGCTGCTCCGTCCTCGTGGTCTGCCCGGTCCAAGGGCTCTTGCCTCGCCTCGGAGATGCCTCGGACGATTGATCAGAAAAGTCGCTGTACAGCGAATCGCGCGGCTCGCTGCCTTCCGAGCCTCACGATCGCCTCGTCACCTCGCAACTCTTCTCTCGTCGCACTGCACTCCAGGCTTAGGCTCAACCTCTCCACGAACACAACACACGAACTTCCGCTGCACGCACAGCTTGTTCACGACCGACTCTACCGCTGCCACACAGCTTGTTCACGACCGACTCTACCGCTGCCACACAGCTTGTTCCACGACAACTCGACCGCTGCCACACAGCTTCTCCACGGTCAACTTCTCTGCTGCCACACAGCTTATTGACGACCCACTCGATCGCTGCCACACAGCTTCTCACTCCTCGACACGTCCGTTCTGCCTCGCGGTCTAATTGCGAATCTCCGTGTGCACTGTCGCGCAGATCGACGACGCATCGAGCGCGAAGCGCTCGATTCGCACGGGTCGATCTACTCTTCAGTGCACGTGGTCCGAGAGGCGCGTCCGAGGTTAACTTGGCTCTTCCTTTGCCCTGAACCTCGAACGCGCGCTCGAGTGATACTCAACTTTCCTACTTTATCATACTCCTCGGTCGCGCAACTCACTCATGCATACACACACTACCGTTCGCTTAATTTGCATCAA